TGGGGGTGCCTGGGTGGCTCAGTCGGTTAAGTGTTTCCCTTTGGCTCAGTTCATGATCCCGGGGTCCTGGGATGGAGCCCCATGTCAGGCTCCTTGCTCAGCGGGGAGCCTGCTTCTCACTCTGCTCCCTGCTCATGCTCTCTGTCACTATCTCTGTCTCTCTCAAATAAATAAATAAAATCTTAAAACACCCACTGTGTTGGACATAAATAGTGTGCCAACGTTTTCCAAATGTTTCATGCTTGTTGGTTTGTTTCTTCAGTCGATTATAACAAAGGCCTATGGAGGTGATGAAAAGGAAGGAATGGCCCAATAAGAAAGATCACATGGCCTTCTCAGTCTTGCTTTTATTTTCACAGTATTTAGTGAAAGGTGGGCACAGAGATATTTTTTGACTCTAAGAACAACATCAGTGCAAGAGGGACCGATACAACCACCTGGCATTTAGCCTCAGTGTTGGGGAACAATAGGGAGTGGTGAGGACAGGGGTCAGCTCAAGTGCCTGTTCTAGAGACAGGAGCAGCTTATTGCCGCCATGCACTAACTTGGGTCCAGAGCTATTGATTTTAAAGAGGAGGCCATCAACCTAGAACAGTGTTTGCTTATGTTTCAGATCCTCTGATGTTTAATTAATTTGCTTATATTAAGAGAAAAAAAAACAAAAACAACAGCCCCAAACCCCCCTGTATCTGTCAAATTGCAGTCTTTACGTTTTTTGAACTTCTGAGGTAGAGATTATGCTTGAACTTCTGAGGTAGAGATCATGTTTTATCCATTTATGTCCTGCCTGACCTCCTCATCCTCCTTCCCCGACCAGCTTTCTCCCTAAAGGCTTTGCCCCTTGCTCAGTCATCAGTAAATTCTCAGCGGAGACTTGATAGGTTCAACCCTGTCTAGCATCAGCAGGGTCCCAACTGTTGGCTTTGCCAGGGGTCCTGACAGCTAAGAATAAAAGCACTAAAGCAGCTTACTTCCCTGCCTCCAATTAGAAGCATAGCAAGCTGGCCTCAACATTGTCAGATCTTGGGTGTTCTAAAAATTTTGAAGTCCTGTAACATTTACATGTAAGATACAAGGAGGGCTCCAGGTCACAGAGTAGTGAGCTAGCGATGTATCTGTCGAGTGGTAACAAAACAGGGCACGTTAGTTTGCAGCCACTGTACGTGAAGGTGCTCTGCAAACTCATCATGGTAATAACAGTCAGCATTTAATTGAGAGCCTGTTCCACGCAGACACTCTGCTAAGCACGATGCACGGATTATGTTTTCAGCCTCACATCAGTTCTGTGGGGCTGGGTGTCATTAGTATCTCCATTTGGAGCCAATCGAGGCTTGGGGAGGTGAAGTCACTTGTTTAAGGGCACGAGGCAGTATGTGGTGGCGTCTGGGGTTGGCCCTGGGGAAGTCTGCCTGCAGAGGCCACGCTCTTCCCCTCAACCCCTGAAAAGAGCTTTACGAATACCAGCCACTGTTAAATCTCTCAGAGGAGCATCTGAAGGAAGGATCACAGACCACCACCAATGTTCATGAGAAAAAGCCCAGGAAAGATCAGTGTTCGACAAGGATGTGGAGGTTCCCTAGGACGCCCTCATTTCCTTCATATATTATGCCTCCTCGGAATTACGATAAAATTCATAGACTACATTTGTCACCTATAGGTGGCAATGGTTGTACAGTTCACTTTTTGGTGGGGCTTTCGAATGCACTTGGGAACAAGGGAGGGCTGAACAGCGCAGGCGAAAATATATTTTCCTGTTTCAAATACATAACGTTGCCATATTCTTAAAATATTTTCCTGCCTTTAGTGTCACCACAGTGTTCTGAGTGATATCTCAAGCAAGTAGATAGTGACATAGTTTGCAGAAATCCCCTGGAATGAATTATACCTCAATTAATTTAATTCCTTGTAGTCAAACTTTAATCAATCAATCAATCAAACCAATCCACTATGTGACTGGCTTTGTGTGAATAACCGGGTGATCTTGATTCTCAGAGGGGGTTCCACAGAGGAGGGGGCTCCTGGAATGATTCTGACAAGGGAAGAGGATGGAGATATATAGTAAGTGAGGGGAGGGCATTCCATGGAGTTCCTGCTGCATTTGTATACCGTTCTGTGTCCACTTTAGGTCCAGGAGCTGCTCAAATAGTCTATGTGAAGGTGCTATTGCCCTTTTGGATTCTATAATGGACAGAATCACGTAAAGACAGAAACACACATCAAGAGGTACCCATCATAAGGGGTTCTAAGAACCCAACCAGACTCGTTCAGACTCAGTACGTGGGTTATCAATCATACATAGCTTTTATTTCCAGAGAGCTTTGCCATCCAAGATTTCACTTCCAGTCTTATATCAGTCTGGAAGGTAAGGGAGGCTGGTGTGGGCTGTCCTCTCCATGGGGTATTTACAGAATCTGTCATTCATACAAATTCAAATTCAGGGGAAATTAGACCTGGAAGCTCAGTTTCCTGATTTTCAACACAAAAATGCATACCATTTTTTTTCCACAGTCAACAATGATCATGGAGTAGAGATTCTGCCTAGACCAATATCCTGAACACTAGGAAGGATGAAATTGAAGGTGATATGGGCCCTTGCCATAAGGAAAAGGCAGGGAGAATGATATAAGGTGATAGAGAAAAACTCAAGTGATAAACCAGAAAAAAAAATATATGGTTGATGGTATCAACTTCAAAGAGATACATGTTATACGTGGATAGCCAGACACTCTTGCCCATAGGGGAGAAACCAATAGGAAATTCATGAAATTGTGTAATGAATCAGTGTTTTGTGATGAAGGCTACTCTTTAATTCTTTCAAACAAGTTTCCATCTGTTGATTATATCTTGAAAATATCGGTGAATATGTCTACTGTAAGATGTCAGAAAGAGATTCAAATCTTCTTGTGAAATTCAAGTGCAGCATCGTTCCTCCGCTGGGCATTAATACTTACAAAGAGGATGGCATTTTGAGCACAAATTAATGTAAACAGTATCTTCATCAACATAGTCTTGTTTCCCTATTGCTATATTCACTGCCAATCAGTTCAAGAAGACACGTGGTAGGAAAATAGCTACATTTACAAAGTGCTCGTACTATGTGTCAGGTACTGGGTTGAATGCATTGAAGTAATTATCTCATTTAATGCTTATCATTCCCCATTATGTGTATAAATGGGAAAATACAGAGTGGAGAGGTGTACATACTATGCACACACACCTGGTTAGTAAGTTAGGGAGTCAGGATTTAAGCAGAAGTAGTCTGACTACAGAATTTGGGATCTTAATCACTTTGCACTAGACCAAGGTATTTGGAAACCAGTGTTTAGTTCCCTGGAATTGTGTTAATTAGCTGTGTGACCCCTCTATACCTTAGTTTCTTTACATTAAAGTTTTTAGTATTTTCCTGCTCTATAAAGCTCTGTGACTCTAAAATATTCTTAGTTGGGTGTCTTCTGTGCATCTATTATTGGCACAATAAATAGCTCTCTTCCCCACCTTAGTTCTGACCAAACTGAAGAATAAGATAAAAGAAAAAGGCTGGTGGGAGAATAAAATATTGGCTTTATTAATGAGAAAGCTTACATTGGGAGATGAGGTTTCTAACTGCGAAGAAGTGAGTTTCCTAGTACTCATCCTAGAAATAGGCCTGGTAACTGGCAGCCCTGGGCTGGGGGCAAGTGTCTTCCCATAAAGCCTCTAGCGTAATGGAACAAGACAGAATATATGCTTCTCACAGCCAGCCTGACTCCAGAGAAAGGGTGCGAAGAGCAGAAGGTGGGTTTAACATCCCCTGTTCTCCTCCTAGAGTTGCCAATTACATAAGCCATCTCTCCTCCTTCACAGGAGAAGTGAATGGGGGGTGGTTACAGAGATGCTAGGAGTGTTCCCTAGGGAGTTCCCCCCCCCACACACACACATCTGAAAATAAGCACATGAAATTGGGAAGAAGTGTCCCCACCATGCCCCCTACCCCCACCCAACCTTTTTCATTATGTATGATGATGCAGATTTTAACTAAATAGTCATAAATGCACTAAGGCCAAGAAGATGCAGAAATTAACCCTTGGGGGGAAATCAAGTTTATGAATGTTCTGCCACTTAGTTGTCATGAAAAATAATTTTTAAAAGGTGCAAAAAACCTCATAGACGGCAGTGAGTGGGTTGGGCAGAGAAACCTCTTCGTGGGCAAGGAAATAGGAGAGAGGTGATTTAGTGGATGTGAAAGACAGAGGAGCTGCCAGGTGGATGCAGATAAATCTAAAAGAGGAGACAGTCTGGCTAGTCCTGGATGTTGGGTTCAAGTTGAAAGTGTGATTTCCTTTCCTGATGAGCCAATCTTGGGCACTGGAAGGATGGATTCAGGGCAGAGTTTTGTGTTATGCTCTTCTTGTGGGGATGGGGAAGAGGTATTTTAATCCTGGGTTTCTTAGTTGAAGTTCTGTGCACTTTGCAAAGTCTACGTTAAGTGATATTTGCTGGGGGAAGGCCAATCTCAAGGGAAAAGATGCAGCTGAAGTCATTTCTCTTTCCTCAGAGGCACTAATCTCTCCGCTAATGCCACCTCTTACTGTATTCCTGGCAGAGCTAGTTTCTGAGTGAGACATAAAAATAGATAGAATGACCTTTGCTGAACACTAGAGACCCTCCAGACTTTTCTCAAGAGTTGTGGTGTTAACCCTGTTAACTGGGTCAAATTCCAACCCGGATAATTACTTTCTTCTGGTGCTCAGTTCCTTTTATTACCTCAACTGGACACATTACTCTTCAGTTGCCCTTCTGAAAAATTAATGTGACGGATCGGTAATAGAGAACCACTCTCTCCATCCAACCACTGGTCGGGAGATGCGATTCAGCACTTGAGGGCACTCTGTTTCCTTACTGGGTCCTGAAGATTCTTCAGTATCTCCAGGGCAAACTGGTTTTATTAGGTGAAAGAGTAATTTTCAGCTGAGATGTGTTTTTATGACTATATTACTAACTATATTGCTGTCTTTTACCAGGATCAATGACTTTTAGTGACCTCTGCTGGAACCCCTGAACCCAGAGGGAAAAAAGTGAGCTTACTTTTTGGAGGAAAAAAAAAAAAAAAGCAAGCAGCAAGGTCAGTAAAGGAAGGAAACAGGGTGGGTAAAAAATAATATACCTTGTAGAAAGGAAAAGAACTCAGCTCAGAGATAAACAATGGCCCCAAGGACATTTAAAAACTAGATCCAAAGGGCAGTAGGAAAGAGAAGTCATTTTATCACAGAGATTGGAAATGCTCCCATATATGAAAAATGAGGGAAGATGTGGGACCAGGCATGTCACTGGGAAGAGAAAATAGGAGCACAAAGAAAATCACAAATGTAGCTCATGGCAGGTGAAGGCATTTGGGAAGACGAAAGGCATGTAATGATAAGTCTGGGTAAAACTGTTGTAGGAACATGCAAAGGACACATCTGTGAGTTCTGCAAACTCTAACATTAGTGCTGTCACTTGAAATGCCCATTTGAAAACATGTTTTTTCATTTTTGTTTTCCAGGTTGTGGATGAATCTACAATTCTAATTTAAAATGTAGGCTGGTCACCTTAAGTAATGCGTCAGATGCAATCAATATTGTTCAATTTCTCCAAAAGTAGAATCTGCACTGTTTTAAAGCCACCTAGCATCGGGAAAACAAGGCAGCTCATTGATACCAGCTTGTGTAATTAGCCTAACTAAATGGAACATGCTTATCTGTGTTCTTAGATTCCCTTTTCTTCTTCCAGCACAATATTAACTAAAATTTTATTCAAGAATGAGAATTGAGCAAGTGCTGGGCTGGGAACTTCTAAATCTGCTCATTTTAGTGTCAGGGTTAATGGTTCCAGCTGATGAGAATGGAGGCATCAAGCCTTTCTGTCTTTAATTTGTAGGCACTGTTATGAATAAAAATAAATACATATGCTACTCACTTGACTTAAAAGATTGATCAGACTTTTTTCTTTGACTAACCCTTCCATCACTTCATGTCTTAAATTTGATACCTATCTGTCCAGCAACTGGGCCATGTCTGGCTTAGATGTCAGTGTGTGTCCAGCATAAAGAGCCCATGAACTTTGTCAGAGGAAAATACAGCATGAAGGGACCATCTGTGTATTCCAGTGCCATATAGCTGGGTTTGTTTCACTTTGGAGTGATAGATTTGGGGTTCCTCTTACAAGAACAAAAGTACACTTATTTGGAGGATCAGATGACTGTAAAAAGGTTATACTATTTTTTCCCCCCATGGAAGTTCTCCTTCCAAAGAAAGATCTCCAATACCATCATAATGCTGGTCATCATCAAAGTGTGTCTGGAAGCGCTAAGTTTTTATTATGATGCATGCTGTGAGCGCCAAAGCCAGGGAGAAACATTTCATGTTATTCATTAACCTATAAAGAGGCAACCTGAAATTACTTCTAATGGAGTTTGGTAGACCATTTAAGGGTCACAGTACACTATGGCACCCAACCTATTAGGCACTTTACAACAGCCAATAGAGTCCAATGGGACTGCAAGGTAAGGTTCATCCAGAAACACAGATATTTGCAGATATTAGAATGTTCACTCTCTTTGTGTTTAAACTATTCATCTCCGAATGCAATCCATGTTACAGTTTTAGGGCTGATCAGCCTTTACTTCGGATGTAGTTATTCCCCAAGGATATGTGACATAGTGAGTCCTGGAGCCAGGGCAACTCAGAATCAGCACCGATTTATTGATCCTTGTTCTAGAGAGAAGATTCCTTGGTGAGAATTTTTCTGAAGATTTAGGCACATTGAGCTTTCCATTCTGTGTCATATTCTAGTTTATTGTGACAATTGTAAAGATACCCTTATTCCTCATTACCTAGTAAGCACGGGGGGGTTCTAGGACGGAAGGATGTGCTAGTTGGGAGAATGCCAGTGGAAATCTGCTTTCATTCTGGATTCTATCCCTTGCTCTGCCACAGTATGACTATGACACTCATTACTTCAACTCTGTACCCAGATCTTAATGAATATTTATATAGAGATTATGCTGCTCTTGCCATGTCATTTATTTATTTACCTATTTACTCAACAGATATTTATTCAGCATCTACTATGTTCTAGATAGTATTCTAGACACGGGGGGTTAGAGTGGTATATGAGACAAAAGCTACTGCTCACATGGAATATACATTTAAAAAATTCTTTAGGGGCGCCTGGGTGGCTCAGTCAGTTAAGCATCTGCCTTCGGCTCAGGTCATGATCCCTGGGTCCTGGGATCGAGCCCCGCATCGGGCTCCCTGCTCGGCGGGGAGCCAGCTTCTCCCTCTCTCTCTGCTGCTCCCCCTGCTTGTGCTCTATCCCTCTCTCTCTCTCAAATAAATAATAAAATCTTAAAAAAAAATTAAAAAAATTCTTTAATATGATATCAATATAGAACAAAGCTTCAGATATTTTAGGAGATGAATCCTTGAGAAATGAGTTGGAATAATCTATCCAGCCTGCTCTTTGGTTCTAATAATGGCACTTAGAACACACACATCTTGTCAATCTCAAAGTTGTGGATATGCCCCTTTTGCCCCAATTCTGTTTTTGAATTAATGCCCTCGACTTGCTTAGCTTCTTTTGGTCTTCTTCCATTCTTCATCTGTAACAGCATTTGGGCAAATGTTTCTCGTAGGTTAACTAATTACTATTTCCATTCACCTTTCTTAACCTCTCTGGCCCTAGTTATCTCTTAAATTCAACATGCTTAAATGAGAATTTTTTCTCTTTCCTCTAATTCCATGTTGCTGCCAATAATAACCAAGTTTTAGAATTTGATCCTTTTTTTTTTTTTAGTTATTCAGAGCTGCTCATTCTGTTTCTATAATAACTCACCCACAGGATCTTTTTTTTCTCTGAATTCCTGGCCTAAACAGCCAGTCTGTCCATTTGACTCAGATATAGGCTATTTTCATATCAATGTCCCACTTCTCAATTAGATCACACACTTCTTGAAGCCGTGGACGAATTTTATCCTGCTTCCTTTCTCAGATTCTTGACACTGTATCTTGTATCTCTTGGAGATGATATTCACTGCATATCAATAAAAGCAGTCCCTATTAGATCTGCTTTCACTACATCATTTCCTCTGGAGCTCAGAGACTTGACCGAGTTTTCTGTCATGTCTGCTTTTCCATGACGAAGAGACATTTAAAATAAGGTATCACCCGACGTGTGATAGCACAGCCCCGACATACCAGCAGTGGTACGTCCTCTCGGATCCCAGGTTAGCATCCAGAACCAGGGCGACCTTGGCATTAATGGACGTCTGACTATGGTCTACTTTGGCAAAAGCAATTTCCTATCTTTGTCAAGAGCAGAGACAGCGTGCACTCACACACTATGGCCATCCTGGTCGGGCAGCTCTGCGCTGAGTCATCCCCTTTCTTCGGCACCCCCCCAGTGGGCGTGGCCAGCAGTTGAGTGAGGCGTCAGCTGCCTGGAAGTCCAGGAACAATAGCCAAGACAATGAACCTTCTCGGGGTGAAACGTTATTAAAAAGAGCAAGCCCATGATAGATGGCACAGACACTGGCTCTGTCCTTTTCTTAAGTGCTTCCTTCAGCCGGCCTCACCTCATCTGAGCCAAGTGGCGGGCAGTGTGCTCAAATTTAGTTTCTTATCTCCTTAAGACAGGGGTGGGGGGGAGGTTGGTGAGGTGATGACATGACAGTGATGATATTCTTAGGGGTAGCAACAAGGCTGACTGTGCAGGCGATAAACTCACCAATATTACTGGGTATATCAAATCATGAAATTAAACCGTAGGGAGATTAAATTAGAGGTGACTTAGTACAAAATTCTAGTACTGGGCAGCACGCAATGCTTTTTGTTCTCTCTCTGCCACCTGTAATATATTCAGTTGGCAAACTGACTACTGCATTATAAAAGGTATTCTCTTCATAAGCCACCTAGGCTGGCTCAATGCTACTTTATGAGGTTTAATTCAGCTATCCACTACAATAAAAAATAAACTTTATTTTTTCTCACATGCACAGAACAATTTAATTTTTAAAGTGATGTAAAAGCCAAAGGCGCCTTGCTCCAAACGAAGCATGTTTGCCCCACACAGCTGCATAAACACAACGCGATCACGGTGAGAATTAAATGTGGATCAACAAAATCAATAGTTAATTGTGTGACTCAGGGTCTTTCATTTCAGATCCAATCTGTAAAGAAGGTCCAGGGGATGTTTGTTTTGATTTTCTTAAGACATTATTTAAAACCTTTCTGTCAGGCAGAAGAGTTTACCAGGTCTTCACATCATTTCCCTAACTTATCTGGCTTGTGAGCAGTCAAGGTCGTACTGACCGGTGGGCCTCTCCAGTCTCCACCTTCAAGTTCAGTGTCTTTATCAGCCAAGCTGCCCCATTCGGGGTATCTGGCTGGCACTAATGCCAGACGAACTTCATTGCAGAAAACAGCCCACCATAGTAGGTGTCTCAGTACCAGATGTGGCTGCATTAGTTGTACTGTGAACTACCTTTTGGTCTATTTCACCACTACCCACAGCGTATAGCAGTTAGATGGCCACCTTTGCCCCCGCCCGCATCGGTACAATATTTTGTGCTGTGAAGATGCACGATTTTGTGACATGGCAAGAACATGTGAGTTGAGCCCGTATGGACAGATATGCTATCTGTTCCAACAATCTAACAGGGACCAGTGGGAAGGGGTGCGGCTTGAATAGAACCTACAAAAAGTCATCCAATCTCATTAGCCCAAATGGATGAGAAGGGAAGGGGGGTGGACAGGCCTCCTTTGCAAAGGGAATAGCACAATAACATCCAGAAGACCACAGGGGTAACAGATGGACCGCCTTGACCCTTGTTATATTACGGCAGAGCTAAAAATGTAATGTTTGAACTTCTTTTCCCTTTAAAGTGTAACCTTTCATATAATACATTAAGCCTTGCTCGCTCTTACATATTGTTAGAAGCCTTCATCCATTTTGGGGACTGAAGGCAAAATAATTCTTGATATAATGAATCATTTTTCTTTTTCCAGCTTGTCCAGAAATCCCATGATTATTTTGCTGTTGCAGACAATGACCTTCTCAAAGGAGGCCTATCAAACGTTCAAGATAAATAATGAGAGGGTCTCTTTTTCCTGCCTCAAGGAAAAAATTGCACGGAGGGAAGATGTTTGTGAAAGCCTCAATATGTTCATTCCAGGAAGGGCAGCAGCATGCTCCAAGTGAAACGGAGAAGTGCACGTATTTCTGTGCCACCAGCACCCCCATTCAGCAGGCCTCCCAGCAGCGTCCTTGGAGGAACCTTGGGGCAGCCACCTCAGCTCTTCCCCCGGTAACGCGGGAATCAAGTGATTCCCTGGTGACAGGCAAAGCGTATTTTAAGCCTCTTGACTTGAGAGCAAGTTAACTAAAGGAAAGGAAGCTCTGGTTAATGCCTTCTTCCAATGATATAGAAAAACATCATTCAGATTTAGTAGGTCCAGGAGCTAAGATTCATCATAAAGAACTCCCCCCTTCCTCCCACATCCCCATCTTCCCACCAAGCAGCAGGTACTCAAAGGGTGAAAGGAGCCTTTGTTTTCTCTCCCCATGGAAGCAAGGCCTTACAAACTAGGTAGAGAGCTGCAGTTGAAATAGCAACTTTCCTATGATTCGAGCACTTTGGGGATGAATGGGAATATAGGCCAGCTTCTCGGGGGCAAGGGTCATCTGTCTACCCTTCTGTGGCTCCTGTAGTTAAGTCTCTGTGGACAGCTGAAGACCCAGACCTTAACTTCAGGAGTAGGTAGAAGACCTTCCCCTATATGCCTCTCAGTCTCCTTCATATCTTTTGTCGAAATTCCTCCCTTTCTCCATAGATGGCTGAGGGATGGCCTGGTTCTAGACCAGGGGAAGAAAATTCATTGTCGAAGGACAGGAACTGATATAACGACAAATGCATGGGTGGTGTGAGTGGGTAGTGGGGACTGTGGTGAACGGCAGAGCACCCCCTCA